TTGAAATCTTTTGAGCTCATTCTCTTTGGTTTTACACTTGAGAATGTCATTACCAACTCACATGTGACTTTAAATCCAATAATTCGATGCTTTTGGACTTTCCAAAATATTCTTTGATTATTTACATAATTACTTGTTTATTATGCTTTTCCCAGTTTATTATATACTTAATTAGTTAATTCAAAATCATCAATGTTTTATAAGTTGTCGTTCAATGCTCGCTACTCCATGCAGTGAACATTATCCAACATGCGTCGACGATGAGGCGTCATAGTTAATACTCCCTCCGTTTCATATTAAGTGTCGTTGTAGAGAATTTTTTGCGTTATAAAATAAGTGTCGTTTTCGGTTTTCAATGCAAAATTTATTAATTTTATTATGTAAGTAATTTTTCTATTGGTTAAAATATGGTTAGGTGTATAGGTAATTGTGTTTTTATATAGAAAATATGTAAAATTAATTGTTTCCTTAATCCGTGTGCATAGCTAGAGAGTGACACTTATAATAAAACAGAGGGAGTAGTTAATTATTTTTTGAGAATTCATAAAAATTGTCTAAACTTCTAGAACGATAACAATTTATTTTTTTGACTGAATATAACGATAACAATTTGAACATGTTAACTTGCATTTTTGTCGATGCAGGTGAAAAGAGATCATGAGATTTTGTTATAAAGATGAAAAAAAAAGAAGGTTGTCATTCAGCCCTCTTTACAAAACTCTCCTAATTCTCTTTTCCAAAAAAAAAGATGTCTTTAAATTTCTCATGTTATATCACTCTGTGTTTCAGTATCAGTAATTCATAAAGAAATGATAATCTATAATAATGTTCCAAATAACTAAAAGAAAAGTTCGGTGATTATTATACTAATCTTCTTTCTCCACAATAATCAATTTTGTTGCTGAGAGCCTCTTAAGCGAGTACCAGATAGAATTCACAATAATATAAGAACAAGTTGTAGCTTTAACTGAAGGGTCACATGTGAGCTTGTGCAAAGAAAAGTAAGAATGCCTCCTTAGAGATAAAGGTTTTGTCTTTTAACAATAAAATAAAGGTAAATAAATAAAGAAAATAACTGAGAGAATATAACTGGCTTATAGACACTGTTACTTTTTATTCATCTCCCTTCCATTTTTATTTATCTAGGCAATTCATTAAGGGAAAATTTGGTGAATATACAAAACAAAAAGAGAAATGAAGGATATATCTATGATTTTGACATTATTAGGTAAATAACATTTAGCTCAAGTTTCAGTCGGTTATACCCTTGTTGTTTCTAAGTTACCGGTGATAAAGAGTGGAAAAAGATGAAGTCGATGAATAAACATATATGGACAATATAAAATCTTCACGT